GCTCACTGCATTAATGGGTGAATCTGGGGCTGGCAAGGTATACCTTCCAATTATACCAGTCGCGCATTCCATTTACTCGAATGCTTGCAGACAACGCTTTTGAATGTCCTTGCACAACGTGTCGGTATTGGTTTGGTAACTGGTGAACGATTCTTTGGCGGGCAGCCGCTCCCCATAGACTTCCAAGCTCAGACGCAAGTATCGTCCTAGTTTCTCAAATTTTATCTGACTGTCATGTTTGGCTACTGCCAACAACTCGACACCCACCTTCCCGAGGCGACTGTCCGTGAAGCGCTCCTTTTCTCTGCTAATCTTCGCCAGCCACAATCAGTTCCTCTCGCTGAGAAAGAAGCATAGTACGTACGATTCCTGTCATGATTAGATCCCACCTAACTGTCCACTGCAGCGTTGACAAGTGCCTTCAAATGTGTGGTCTAGAGGAGTATGCTGATGCTATTGTTGGCACTCTTGGGGTTCAGCACCGTAAACGCACCACCATTGCAGTGGAGCTCGCTGCCAAGGTTTGAACGCAAACCCTTCAAGTTATAGTTGTGCTGAGAGATTCATAGCCCAAACTTCTACTCTTCTTGGATGAGCCTACATCTGGCCTTGACTCGCAATCTGCCTGGGCCATCGTAAATGTACTTCGTGAACTTGCTGACCGTGGTCAGGCCATTCTCTGCACGTGAGTGTCATTTTGACATGTCGATTTTCAATGTTCATGAGCTGTACTAGAATCCATCAACCTTCAGCGGAGCTCTTCCAGGTCTTTGACAGATTGCTGCTCCTTCGCAAGGGTGGACAGACGGTCTACTTTGGCGACATTGGCGAGAACTCGTCGACCAAAATTACTTTGAGCGTAATGGTGCTCACGCTGCGGCTCCGACGACAATCCGTAAGTAAGGTTCAATCATATGGTCTTGCGCTTACCAGGGAGTTGAAGGGCGGAATACATGCTTGATGTAATAGGTGCTGGAGCAACTGCAGTCTCTACCACTGATTGGTACAATGTCTGGAAGTGCTCACCAGAAGCGGCTCAGCTTCAAGACCATATCGACGACTTACATCAACAGGGCCGTTCTCACCCACAGAAGCTTGGCAGACAGCACTCAGTCTTCACTACCTCATGGTTGCACCAGTTCGTTATGCTCACCCACAGGAATTTCCAAGCATACTGGCGCAATCCTACGTATATTCGCGCCAAGTTTATCCTTAATATCGCTGGTGGTCTTCTTGTGGGCTTTACATTCTTTCAGGCAAATGACTCGTTGCAAGGCACCCAAATAAGCTATTCGTAAGTATATCAATTCAGATTCTTCGTTTCATCACATCCTTACTCTTCTTTAGTCAGTCTTCCTCTCCCTTGTGCTCTGTGTTCCCCTCGTCCATCAGCTCTGGCTGTCTACATCGACATTCGCACAGTGTACGAGATACGCGAACGTCCCACTAGAATGTATAATGGACTGCTCTCGTCATGTCCCAGCTTGTCGCTGAGCTGCCTTGGAACATCACAAGTTCAGCTATTCTTTTTGTGCTGGTACTGGACCGTTGGATACCCCACAGACCGGGCGGCTTACACGTTCCTCACCCTCGCCATCGCCTTCCCGTTCTACTATACCACGCTTGGACATGGTATCGCATCCATGGCACCAACCGCTCCAGTTGCATCCATATACTTCACAACTCTCGTTATCTTTATGCTGATCTTGTGAGACATACTTTGAGCCACGCCAGTTCATGCTAATAATCCACCAGTGATGGCGTCGTTCAGCCGTTCTTCGAGCTGAATTGGTGGAAATGGATGTACAGGGCCTCTCCCTTCACGTACATAATCCAGGGCCTCCTTGGTCAAGGTTCGTGAATGATTTTCTGAATAATCGTACTCATATTTGTTCTCCTAGCTGTTGGCGGTCAAACCATTATCTGCTCCTCTACGGAACTAGTTTGTTGACCCGCCGATGGTATGACCTGCAGCGAGTACATGGATCCGTTTCTCAAATTCGCTGGTGGCTACCTCACAAACCCCGGAGCTGCAGAGGGCTGCCAGTACTGTCCCTACAAGACCACTGACGATATATGTACTCGAGGTTCAACGTTAAATACAGTGATCACTGGCGAAACCTGGGCATTATCTTTGGATTCGTTGCGTTTAACGTGAGACACTGTCGGATGTTGCCCAGATCTGATGCTAATGTGCCTTCTGTAGACCATTGCGATCTTCTGGCTCACGTATTCTATGCGCATTCGCAGTGTTAGCGTGTTTACTTCTCTTAAGCAGAGGTTAGCTCGTGGCAAATTGTAAGTGAATTGTAAATCATGAATACTACGTATCCCTCAAATGCACTCGCAGGACCCCAGTCAAATAGACACGAGTGCACACACTAGCAGACGTTAGATTCGTTTGCATCGCACTGCATTCGTACTGCCCTTCCGACTCCAGCGCCGCAGTACTCACATAGAGCAGCTCACTCAATACCACCGGGATGTATGATATGTTGGGAAGTTTTTCATTTAAATAGGTACTCGAAACAGATATCATTAGTCATATGTCCTTTCCTCGAGCTGCAAAGGGTTTTATAGAAGGGCGATAGGGACAATTAGTAGGTTCAACGCTTCATTAATCATAATCATTGGTATTACCATGTCCCAAACTCGTGCTCCCTCCGGGTAAAACCAGTCCAGCGATTATTAGCGAGGTGCTTATATAAGTACTGGGGACAAATTGGCGGCCCTTGCACTTAGACGGCTTGGCACCATTCAAGTTGTACAGAACGGGAGCTGCGGCCTACGCGTGCACGGAGAAAAAGCCTCGACGGGCAACCAGTCAACGTCTCCTGCACCACGCACTGATTCTCGCTCTGAAGCCCATTAGATCAAGACCTCGAGACTGATTCCGAGTCGGTCGCATGGTACTGACTCACACCCATTCTAGAGTCTGGACTAGTACTGCAGTGGTTCCGATGCTTTCCCTGCAGATAAAAAAGTACACGTATATTCTGAGTCGGCGAAGTGGTATTTCCGAACTTCCATGAATGTCGGATCTTTTGATGGTCTGAGGCCGGCGCCTGTCCTCAAGATTCAGGGGTTCAAGTTGTGTCCGGATTCAACATCAGGGCTGATAAAACTGTTGCAACTCTCCAAGGCGTTGACCTGACACACGATGATCAAACGGAATAAAACGCGCTTATTCGAGGGGTGACGTTGTGGTGAGCCGCGGCATTAGTAACTGTATGGCATAATCTGACTTCCTCTGACCGTTTGATCGAGGATGGACAACCACCATCGCTTGTTTCTTACTGCTATAGTACATTTTTGGATATCTGGACCCTCGTTGTGTGCGACGTTGCACGTATCTCGCCTTGTGCTCATGCATTCCCAGAAGGCATACAGCCATTTGGAGCACAATACACTACTGTTTGTGAAGAGCGTCAGATCCATCCATAGGTTCGATGGTTTGGTTTCACCGAAAGTAACTTGTCACCGTCTTTCCACCAGAATTTCGCGGCTTGTATGTAAATGCCACATCGGAGAAAGTACTCGATCACCGGGTATACCTGCGCATCGATGTTTGGATCATGCAAGACGTATTTGAATCAAAAGAGTCTTACATCAAGCAAAGATCGATACATTTTTGTGAGTCCGTTGACATGGCGGGATGCTTTTTGACGTTGGCCTGACAGCTTTACTGCTACGTGGGATCCTTGTATTCGCTGCGATATCATGCCTTCTTGCTGGAACCGAACTGTCTTCAGCTCCAGTATGCTTTGGGCACTTCGGTGAGTACATGTCAAATCGAGAGTTCTACCATAGGCAACTCTTTGTCTTGTTTGACTTCGGGGATTCTTAACATCGGTGCCGGTGATCGTTCGAGCACTGGTGACTGCTCATGCACATGGTTCTGATCTTCGATCGCGTCTTACTCGCTGATGCCCGCTTCTACACTGCTAGGTATAAAAGATGAATCGTTATGAGGGTTGACCATTCATCACTTTGACCTTCTGTGTTGATTGTTGCTGCCACTACTGCCATGTTATTCCACTCCATCACTATACTCGCTTGCGCCCTTGGCATTACTGCTTATGCTGCTGCCTCACCCACAGCTTCCGTAGATGCTTTGGATCAACTTGATGGCTTGATGGTCAGAGTTGACGTCGACGCCAGTGAGCATTTATCTATTCTGGCGTCCCTCCTAGCTAAGTCTTTCACAGGAGACGTTCTAGATGATGTCAATCTCAGCCAAAAGCGCGATAATGATACCTTGCTTGGCGTTGATGTTGGTCAGTACCGTCTTTATTCAAGTTGGTGGCTATCTGATGGTATTTCACCAGTCGTCAGTAACGTTCTGAACAATGTTAGCGTAGGTGTCTTGAGTCAGTAAATGACGCTTGTTTCACCCGACGGGCCATGAAACGCCAGATTTCTACTGTGCTTGGATTTCAGACTGCTACCATGGGTTTGTCAAGTCAATGTAATCATAGTTGTATACAAGTGCCGCTATAGCCTATAACAATTGCGTATGCCTTCTGTCGCCATTCAGGGTATGCATTGCGTCCAAACTTCAGTCTCAACATGCAAAACACCCCTTACTCACTACCGGTACGCACTGTTCATGATTCAACTCAGGACCCGAGCTGACAGGTAGTAAAAGACAATCAAGTGTTTGTTTCCATCAAGGTAAATGTAAGGCCTGCCATTGACTATGAAATAAGTATTAAGCCGTGCAACAAAGAATTTCCACACAAGAAACTGTAACAGTTTGTTGTGCTATACCACGAGTGAGTTCCATGCATTCGAGGTAAGTGAAACAAGCTTCTACAGAGTTACATACATGATAAGTTATATACTTGCAAATAATTTCAAATGTTAGGACAATAATAACAAATGGACTGAAACATAGCATGCCCGGCCTGCCAGAGGTACAACAATCCGAGGGGTATACAATTGAAAGTCTCGCAAAGCCGCAAAGACAACTCTTGCTGGCTGGTATAAATATTAAATTTCGGATGTCCCTCCTGGATACAATCGCTTATGAGTCCTGCACTGTTCGCAAGACTTGTTTACACTCACTTGGTGTGGGACACGGGAATTTGGAACAGTAGTCATCAATCTCCAATTGCATTTCGTGCAAGCCCGGCCTGCCTAGCATCCTGAGGAACATTCCGATGGTGCCAGTTACAGGGTCCATAATGCGCTTATTCTGTGAACCGAGAATATCTTCGAGGTCAAAAGTGAAAAATGAACATGTTAGCGCCATGAATCAAGTTTACTAACGAAAAAGCTCACCGCGGGTACCAGGAGTGTATGCCAGGGGTGGTGTTGATAAAGGAATAGAAAACGCCAACTCAATAATGAAGAAGAAGCTGAAAAAGAGTGTAAGGAGAGCTGAAATACGCATTCTGCTCTTGGACGATAATTGTGTAGGGGACGGGGGTGATGGAACGTTAAAATTGCAATTGCGGAGTAGGTCAGTTTATATGCTAATTTTTGTTTCGTAAATGACGCTATGGTTGTCCGGGTCCGATTCCCAAAGAATGATGGCTTCCATTCGGACCTGGCGATACTTAAGTACTGACCCGGAGCCGATGTGGAAGTGTAGCACCATTTGCTGATCAATGACAAAATGGAGAGATTGATATTTTAGACTCAGATTACTAGTCACTTGTTATATCGCATATTGGTTCTAGGCTACAGGAAACGTCGAAACATTACAAGTCACGTGACGTCCCTAGCGGGTCCGAGTAGTCAAGGGTTTCAGAAGCTTCCAACTGGCCCTGGAGTCAGGGACAGCTGGCCACTCTGGAACCAATCGCAAAAAGTCTATTCTCCTTCCCTGTAATACGCAATATTTTCAGCAATCCCTCCAACCACATCACTTTTGTTTTTATCATCATTAGATTCATATCTCCTCTAATACATGGATTAATTTTTAGGATCGTGGTGTCGGAGGAGAAACCCAGGGTCTACCTCTAATCTATAACTTGGGTCACGTCTTGTCACGCCTCGGCGCAATCAGCGGCTCGCTCTCCGAAGCCTTCCAAAGTGCGCGCATCCATGATCCGAGTCGCGAAAAGCTCGAAAACGGCGATACCGTGACAGCATACTGGTATCATTAACCAGCAGAGTAAAGTAATTCATCTAATACTGACAGTGATAATTACTATGATTGTACTGGTGGTGTTGCAGACAGCCTGGCAGAATATATTTGATGCCCTGCATACATATCCCGAGTCTCCACTGCATCGGGCATACCTGGCCTGGGGAAAATTTATGTTGACATCGAAGGTTGAGAACTTGAAGCGCAGGCTGAGGTTGGTGTCCAAATGGTTCGTGAACTGGGAATCGCGTCCTGCTGTAATTCAGCAGTGTTAATGTCATTATCGAGACAGCGCCTCCGAGAACGGGTAGGGTAACTTCCATCGCGTGGATTTTTCTCGAGGTCAGGGTCGTCACAATCAAAGTGTTACCCACAGAACCCACTGGAACACTCACTCAGCCTTGACTGCGGCTAAGTAGATACCGTGTGCCGAGGAGGAGATTGAATTATTGTGTATCTCCCTGTCTGGTGTCACGCCATTGTACTTGTCGTTGATTCTACTGGTTTTCCGACATCCCGCTCTTTATGCTTCAGGTAAGTTTTTGTGAGTACCTATCTGTTAGTGTTACAGTGATCGAATATCATACTACAAACATCATATTCCAACAGAAGTGGCTAACATTGCCCATCAACAGCTTGTCGCGCCTCCGCTCCCAACACATCCAGTATTTTGTTCCTCGACCGCACTGCTGCCCTTCTTTGCCTTCTCCTCTCCATTGGATGCTCCTCAGCTTCGTCTTGTGCAATCAAAAAATCCAGGTAAGCTTGTTCCGCAGGACGAAGAATGTTGTCAAACGAGTCATCAGAATGGGGTGCCGAAATCTCTTCAGGTGATGGCTCGAAATTAGTTGTGTAGCCGAGGGATGCCACCGGCGGTGCAATATCCAAAGGTCCAATCATTTCACCGAGCTGCATTGTCTTGCAATATTGCCGAAGGACGGCATTGGGAGGTGTGGCAAATGGATTTTGGACGTCCCAAACAAAATCTCTTGAACTACCCAATAGATCTTCGTTATTTCTCGCTTGACATTTGCATGCAAGAGGTCTTTTTGTCTCTTCAATTTCGTCGGGCTTTAAGAATGACCAATGCGCCGTCGTCGTTGACGGTAGTTGACAATTCTTTGCCTTCCTCGACAGGTGGCTCATTGAAGCGTAAGGGTCCCAAGACCACGCGTTGTGTATACTCCCTAGCCACTCTGCGCTTCTTGTTCTTCTCTATCAAGTCCATTACTAGGCCCTTGCGTGGCTTAAAGATGGTCACAGCGCTTGGACTGCGACTACCTGCACGCTTTGCACCTACCGAGAGCCATCATCTCTCCCAGCTTGTCGTAAACTTGGGAAACCTCTTCATTTGCAGATGAGGACTGTAGCAAGGCTCCCATCCTGGTCCAGGGTGATTGCGTTGTGAGTGTAATACCGAGGATTTTGGCAGCCTTGTGATCTGAATTACCAAAGGCCTTTCGCTCGGCGGGGGTGAGTCTGTTTGTAAGGGACAGTGCCGGACCGTCGGTGATGTTTATCGAAACAGCGCTACCGGAGCACTTCGTGACTGTTTGGATGGTCATATTATTGCAAGGCCGAAGTCAAGGAAGAAAGACGCAGGGAAGAGTGAGCGATTTGTGGTAGCCTCCGTCGACACTGCAAGGTGCATCTTTATATCTCCAGTACTGTGGACGGCTTTGGCGCGTTCGACGTCCACAGCTGTCCACAGTGCCTATAATAGGTCGGTGTGCAAGCTTAGTGGCATGTCTTTGTTCATCTCGCTTTGATTACCAATTTTGACAGGTGGTCCACTGTGGGGTCTTCGTGACGATAGGTTGCGTAAAAAGGCCCGGGGTTGATTCCTTCATAGTTGATACAATGGGTAAGCAATACACTTGAATGTGAGGATATGATATTGATCATCCACTCGCGATAGAGCAGAGTGAGTTGCAATAGAGCCGCATCGACTAACACATTCACCTATGTTTGTCTCATGCCAACAGATTTTATGATGTTTGCATGACTTTAGGACGTGATCTGCTTCCATTATCACGTCGTTTTGATTGGCCAACCTCTGCTCACCTACGCATATGAATCTGATCAAGCTTCCGAAAGGTTCCTCGTTAATTCAACTATGTTCCTTGTGACACTATCTTCTTGGTGCATATATCTTCAGTGACATCTTGCAGTGTACCGACACCATTGGACAGATTCTGGAGGACCTCGATCAGTGCTGTGCTTTGTGATGTATAATCATTTTACCGGTTATCAATGGCGTTTATCGCTAAGCCCCGCAACTTAACCTCAGCCTATTTGCGATCAAATCTAAGAATCTAAGAAGTAAAGTAGAACGGTTGCGGGAATGGTCGGGCGCTCGCGTGGCTTTCGCCTATTTCGCTAAAGGCCACATGGGAGCGCTTAGCTCGCTTAAACCTCTTTTTGGCAACTCGCGTGGTTTTCATGTATATTTCGAGCGGCGACTCAAATAACGTCGCCCATTGGAAACTTAGCACGATGTTGGTAATACATGGTGTTTGAGCAGGGGGACAACGGGATTTGAGTGTTTTGCCTACTGTAATTGTTAGTTGTCGCAGTATATGTACATAAATGGAACAACATATGATACAATCACAGACAGGGAGATAACAAATGTGGTAACAGGAGATAAGATTCAAATAAAAAAAGGAGACAAAGACAATGCAGACTCAAAAACTGGAGAATGTGAGGACAGGAAAATGGGGAGACGGGAGATGGGAGACGGGAGACGGGAGACGGGAGACGGGAGACGGGAGACGGGAGACGGGAGACGGGAGACGGGAGACGGGAGACGGGAGACGGGAGACGGGAGACGGGAGACGGGAGACGGGAGACGGGAGACGGGAGACGGGTAGGTGTTGGAAAAAAGTTAGGTACCATTGTAATACTGCCGGATTACAAGTTTGGCTCGGCACCTTAAGAGGCCTTACAAGGCATTTTAACGGGCCATTCTGAGGCATGGCGAGGCAAAACTCAAGGTAAGGTCATCAAAAGGGCCCTTATAAGTGCCTTTTAATGGGCATTAAAATATTATCTTACCCGTTTAAAAGCCCTTATAAGGACACCCTCCAAATAGAGCATTAAAATGTCTTGCAAGGCCTTAAAACCCTGGGAACTTTTTACAACAGGTAAAGATGGGAAAATAAATACATTCAATGATACTGTTATATATGTTGTAATTGTCAGAATCCTGCTCAAAGAATGTAGAACTGACTGATCTTACTATGTACTATGTACTTTATGTGGTGGTAGATTGTACTTTTAGTTTTTTGAACTGCTCATAAATGTATTTTCAAAATTATCCAAAATGCACAATTTATTAGGATGCAGGCTGAGGCCAGGAAGCTAAAGGAGGGCGTAGCCCTCCTTGGCTTCCTGTGACGAAGGAACAACACTCATTTTCCTCCCCTGAAGGAGCGCGTAGCGCTCCTTCGATTTGTGCCGAAGGCACAACGGGCGTGAGCTCGTGTTTAATGTGTGGAAGGGAATATGATATCATAGAGCGAGTCTTTTGACGCCGTTCTGAACAGCGCCGTTGAACGTGTTTTGCTTTGTCGTCCAATCATGATGTGATTATATAATATTCAGACAGGACTTCTGGTACTCCAAACGTTCAGTTCGCATCCGTTCGTCCATAAACAGACGCTGACTTTGGTAAATGTTAACGTTCATTGACCGGCAGAACACTTCACTACCATCACACCAAATAGAAGCATGAGAGGAATTTCGGCACAAAACTGACAGAGATATGATGAATGAAGAGGATTGATGATGGATCATCTGTAACTTATAGTTGACAGGCTCAGCCTGCTAGTGATGCCATCAGCTGTGCCTATAGTAAGTGCCATCCATCAGCGCTCAGCTTCGCCTCCTGTTCATCACGGTGTATATATAGTATATAACACTAATCAGCTTTTCTTGATGCAACCCACAGAGGGTACTGTGAGCTCTCAGATCTCAACGTTGTCAACACTCGAGGGTACCCCATACTCTGTTATGTCCGCACAGCAGCAGTCAGTGAGCATTGCTGTTCAGCAATTGACTCTTACCATCGTATCATTCACTCTTGTGGTGTACGATCATGCTATCACATTCGCTCAAGAAGTACCTTCGTCTTCATGGTCGATGACAGTCTAACTCTGATTCACTGACATCGTTTATTTTAGGTGACTTTCTTTTGGTCCAGTCCATGGTCACCGTCAAGAATACTGTATCTCAGCGTAAGGCCATTACGAATTATTCTTGTCAGTGACTGATTTTAGGTTCGACAGATCCGATACTTGGCTCTCACGCAAGTTTGGTGTGTTTGACTCCGTTTAATGAAAAAATGCACTAGAAATGATATATTGGTTTAGTCTTACTGCTCTGGCACAAAT